GTTTTAACCCGAAAAAAACGACCATGTATAGTCAGGCATTTTTGGCCGAAAAAAAAGACCATGTATAGTAAGGCGTTTTGTGCCGAAAAAAACGTCCATGTATAGTAAAGCGTTTTTGGCCTTAAAAAACAACCATGTATGGTAAGGCCTTTTTGGCCGAAAAAAAAAACGACCTTGTATAGTAAGGCATTTTTGGCCGAAAAAAACGACCATGTATAGTGAGGCGTTTTTTGCCGAAAAAAACGACCATGTATAGTGAGGCGTTTTTTGCCGAAAAAAACGACCATGTATAGTGAGGCGTTTTTTGCCGAAAAAAATGACCATGTACAGGAAGGCGTTTTGCGAATTGTTCCGTGGCGTGAGTGTGAGCGCGAATAGTGCAGAGAAGACGATCAGAAAGTTCATGGCCATACACATTTTCAAGAACACAGAAGAAGGACAGACCTGGATTTGAACCCTGCACCTCCACATCGCAACGCCGACGAACTAACCATTCGACTACCAGGTAGGTCATGAAAGCTTCACATTGTCCCTATACAAGACCGTTTTTTGAAATGTGAGCGCATTGATCGTAAGGCTTTTCTTTTTTTTGTAAAGTATTTTTTTATGTCTAGGAAGGCATCTTTAACAACAACAACAAAAATTGACCATCTATAGTAAGGCGTTTTTAAAGCCATAAAACGACCATGTGTAGTCAGGCGTTTTTCAAAGGAAAAAAAATGACCATACATTTTCATGTGTTTTGCACCAAAAAAGACGACCAAAGGCGTTTTTATCCCCCGCAAAAAACAAAAATGAATAGTCAGGCGTTTTTGGCCGAAAAAAAAGACCATGTATAGTAAGGCGTTTTTGGCCGAAAAAAACGACCATGTACAATATAGTAAGGCGTTTTTGGCTGAAAAAAAAGACCATCTATAGTAAGCGTTTTTTGCCGAAAAAAATGACCATGTATGGTAAGGCCTTTTTGGCTTAAAAAAAACGACCATGTATAGTAAGGCGCTTTTGGCCGAAAAAAAAGACCATGTATCGTGAGGCGTTTTTAGACGAAAAAAACGTCCATGTATAGTAAGGCGTTTTTGGCCGAAAAAAACGACCATGTACAATATAGTAAGGCGTTTTTGGCTGAAAAAAAAGACCATCTATAGTAAGCGTTTTTTGCCGAAAAAAATGACCATGTATGGTAAGGCCTTTTTGGCTTAAAAAAAACGACCATGTATAGTAAGGCGCTTTTGGCCGAAAAAAAAGACCATGTATCGTGAGGCGTTTTTAGACGAAAAAAACGTCCATGTATAGTAAGGCGTTTTTGGCCGAAAAAAACGACCATGTACAATATAGTAAGGCGTTTTTGGCTGAAAAAAAAGACCATCTATAGTAAGCGTTTTTTGCCGAAAAAAATGACCATGTATGGTAAGGCCTTTTTGGCTTAAAAAAAACGACCATGTATAGTAAGGCGCTTTTGGCCGAAAAAAAAGACCATGTATCGTGAGGCGTTTTTAGACGAAAAAAACGTCCATGTATAGTAAGGCGTTTTTGGCCGAAAAAAACGACCATGTACAATATAGTAAGGCGTTTTTGGCTGAAAAAAAAGACCATCTATAGTAAGCGTTTTTTGCCGAAAAAAATGACCATGTATGGTAAGGCCTTTTTGGCTTAAAAAAAACGACCATGTATAGTAAGGCGCTTTTGGCCGAAAAAAAAGACCATGTATCGTGAGGCGTTTTTAGACGAAAAAAACGTCCATGTATAGTAAGGCGTTTTTGGCCGAAAAAAACGACCATGTACAATATAGTAAGGCGTTTTTGGCTGAAAAAAAAGACCATCTATAGTAAGCGTTTTTTGCCGAAAAAAATGACCATGTATGGTAAGGCCTTTTTGGCTTAAAAAAAACGACCATGTATAGTAAGGCGCTTTTGGCCGAAAAAAAAGACCATGTATCGTGAGGCGTTTTTAGACGAAAAAAACGTCCATGTATAGTAAGGCGTTTTTGGCCGAAAAAAACGACCATGTACAATATAGTAAGGCGTTTTTGGCTGAAAAAAAAGACCATCTATAGTAAGCGTTTTTTGCCGAAAAAAATGACCATGTATGGTAAGGCCTTTTTGGCTTAAAAAAAACGACCATGTATAGTAAGGCGCTTTTGGCCGAAAAAAAAGACCATGTATCGTGAGGCGTTTTTAGACGAAAAAAACGTCCATGTATAGTAAGGCGTTTTTGGCTGAAAAAAAAGACCATCTATAGTAAGCGTTTTTTGCCGAAAAAAATGACCATGTATGGTAAGGCCTTTTTGGCTTAAAAAAAACGACCATGTATAGTAAGGTGTTTTTTGCCGAAAAAAACGACCATGTATAGGAAGGCGTTTTTTGCCGAAAAAAACGACCATGTATAGGAAGGCGTTTTTTGCCGAAAAAAACGACCATGTATAGGAAGGCGTTTTTTGCCGAAAAAAACGACCATGTATAGGAAGGCGTTTTTTGCCGAAAAAAACGACCATGTATAGGAAGGCGTTTTTTGCCGAAAAAAACGACCATGTATAGTCAGGCCTTTTTAGTCGAAAAAACGACGATCTATAGTCAGGCGTTTTAACCCGAAAAAAAACGACCATGCATAGTAAGGTGTTTTTAGACGAAAAAAAACGACCCTGTATTGTAAGGAGTTTTAGACGAAAAAAAAACTGACCATGTATAGTAAGGCGTTTTTAGCTGAAAAAAACTACCATTTATAGTCAGGCATTTTTGGCCGAAAAAAACAACCATGTATAGTCAGGAGTTTTAGACGAAAAAAAAAAACGACCATGTATAGTAAGGCGTTTTTAGCTGAAAAAAACTACCATTTATAGTCAGGCATTTTTGGCCGAAAAAAACGACCAGGCGTTTTTTTGACCAAAAGAACAACCATGTATATAGTAAGGCATTTTTAGCCCCCCCAAAAACGACCATGTATATGAAGGCGTTTTTAAAGCTGTAAAAAATGTGAAAACATCCTGTGATAAACTCCAGGAGCTGTACCAATTCATGCTCGGCAAAGTATACGATACAGTGGAACCTCCAAAATGGTCCCTTTCATCATACCTACAAACCCTAACTACCCTTGCTCACCCCGAACCCTAATTCTACTTCAAACCCTTAACTCTAATCCTATTTGCAACTATTTGCAAACCCTAAACCCTAGCTGTACTTTTTAACACTAACCCAAACCCAAAACCTTCACCCTAACGCTAACCCCTAACCCTAACCCAAGCCAAACAATAACCCTAACCCCAGCCCAACCCTAACCCTAACCCCAACCGCTAACTCTAACCCTAATGATAAAGTCTGACCCGAACCCAAACTATCATCTTCACCCTAATGCTAACACCTAACCCTTATCCCTCACCTGAGCCATACCCTAACCTTAACCCCAGTCCAACCTTAACCACTAACCTGAAAAGTAACCCTAACCCGAGCCAAACCCTGACCCTAACACCAACCACTAACTTTCACCCGAACGATAACCCCTTACCCTAACCCAAACTGGAACCTCAACCCTAATGCTAACCCTAAACCTAACCCTAACCACTAACACTAGCCCAACCCTAACCCCAGGCCAACCCTAACCCTAACCCCAACCGCTAACTCTAACTCTAACGATAACCCCTTACCCTAACCCAAACTGGAACCTTAACCCTAACGCGAAACCGAATCCCTAACCCAAACCCTAACCCTACCGCTAAAATGAACCCTAGCCCAACCCTAAACCCAGCCCACCCCTAACCCTAACCCCAACCCCTAACTCTGACCCTAACGATAACCCTTTACCCCAACCCTACCCCAAACCCTAACCCATAACCTTAACCGTAACTCTAACACTAACCCCTAACCTCTAACCCTAAACCTAACCCTAACCCCAACCCCAACAACTAACCCGAAAAATAACCCCTAAAACTAACACCTAACACCAAAACCTAACCCCAACGCTAAGCCTAACCCCAAAATCTTACCGTAAATCATCATCTCACCAATCACGACTGTCACTGCACGTCACCGAGTCAGACTTTGTGGAATTTGAATATATTGTTCGATAACAAGTGAACACGAGCTCTTAATGTTTAAGATTGTGGCATGCGAATGACCCCACAGTGCATTTTGTCCACACTCCTCTCTCCAGTGAGATCTGACAACTGGAATGTATGTGTGTGTTGAGTAGAGTCTTTGTGTGTGTGTGTGTGTCCCTAAACCTAACCCTAACCCCAACAACTAACCCGAAAAATAACCCCTAAAACTAACACCTAACACCAAAACCTAACCCTAACGCTAAGCCTAACCCCAAAATCTAACCTTAAATCATCATCTCACCAATCACGACTCTCACTGCACATCACCGAGTCAGTCTTTGTGGAATTTGAATATATTGTTCGATAACAAGTGAACACAAGCTCTTAATGTTTAAGATTGTGGCATGCGAATGACCCCACAGTGCATTTTGTCCACACTCCTCTCTCCAGTGAGATCTGACAACTGGAATGTATGTGTGTGTTGAGTAGAGTCTTTGTGTGTGTGTGTGTGTGTGTGTGTGTGTGTGTGTGTAGGTAGGAGTGGAATGCAGGAAGGAGCCAGATGTTGGCAGACGTTTGCAGCGAAGTCTCCCAATGGTCGGGAGCTCGAGTCAGCAAATAGTTTGTACAAATGAACGGAACATTTTCCGATAGTGGACACTCTGTGTTTGTGTGCGTGTGCGTGTGTGTGTGTGTGTGTGTTTATTTATTTATGTATGTGTATACACACACACACACACACATACATTTATATATATATATATATATATATATATATGATATATATATATATATATACTGTATACACACACACACACACACACACACACACACACACACCCTGGAATCCCCTGGATGCACCGATAAAAGTATCGGTTCTGTCCATCTGTACTCATACACCTACCTGTGAAAATGATCCGATGCTATGACATCAATACCACTTCCCCATTCTGACACCTATCTTTTGGGCAGGTGAGAATAGGAGCTGTCAGCCACATGGAGACACTTAAAGGTAAATGAGAAAGTTTTGGCTCTGATACTATATTATATTACAGGACCTATGACCTCATAAGGCATATGTTTGTTTTCATGAACGCATAAGAGTGCACTTTGATTTTACTGGACCTGAATCCCCAGTAGACTGAGTTGAAAATAAGCGTTCAAGGTCCCTCTGTCCCTTCAGCACAAGCTGTACCTGCAAATAGAAAAACAACCCAAAACAAAGCTCACACACACACTGAAGGGCTAACAGATGCACAGTGAGGAAACTCTCCCCACTTTGGCCTGTGCAAACAGGGTCATCAAAGTCTGAGTGTGCCACTTCCCTGAGGGTGGGCAGCAGCGCCCGGTGGTCCCAGGCACAAAGCTGGCCGCAGGCAAGGCGGAAAATGAAAAGGACGCATGAAAGTCACGGATGGATTCTTTCTTCAGCCCACCTCTGGCTTGATGTTACCCATCCAGACTCGCGTGTGTACATGCTCACTTTGCTCTACTTGGCAGGACAAAACAGCTCCCCCTCTATAGACTCTTAAAACCAAGCTCTTCCTGACACAACCTCAGCACTTTTATTCAGCCTTGGGGCTGGCCGTAGTTGGAAATCAGCATATTAGTTACACGGCCTTATGGATTTATCATGTCATTTGATGACCCGATAAAGGGGTGGGAGTCAAACCTTGATGAAACATTCTCAGCTTTTCACACGATGAGAATGTGCACATTATTTTACAACTAAAGAGGCATTTGAACCGTTTAACACAAGACTTTATGGGAGCCATAAATTCTTTGGAAATCTAAAATGAATATCAATATTATTTTCCTTACTCGTTTCCATTCTGTAGCAATTGTTGAGAATTGTCAGCCCATCCGCCATATTGGATGTGGCTTTAGTATTAGCCATAAATTCGGCGAATAACACACACACACACACACACACACGAGTTTTTATTTCGGGGTGGCGCTGGGGGGGTGAGACGGAAGGACGAGGACAAATATTACTGATAAATTATAAATATTTCATACTGAGGCAACGACTAAAAAAACACTGTAGGATCCACTTGAGTGCTCAGCTTGATGAGTTGAGTCAGGGCAGGGCAAATAGCCTTTTTTGGTGAGATTGTTTTTACACAGATTAGCTGAGGTAAACATTTGATTTTTGATTGCTTTTACTTGGGTTAACTTTTCAATTAGTGCTGCCCTTTTTGGAAAATGTCTCTAAAATGTTCTTGTTCGCAAATGTTAGAATTAAAAGTGCACAAATGCCACTTGAAGATGGAGAAATCCTTTAAGACAACCCACGGCCGCCACCTCGTGGAAATGTTTTAATATTACACGCTTGCTCGTTTTAAAAAAAAACAACAAAAAACACGCCTTTCCCACTTCAAAACATATCCTCTTTGACAGAGTTGCTGTTGGAAAAAAAGCATGGACAGAAAGAGTTCAACTGAAACAAATCTTAACATTAATAACACTGGTAAACATTTTTTTAAATAAAATGTTTTAATCAAACATTTCTCAATTATGTGCACTGATTACAAATCTGACTTCGATTTTTCTCGACCACATCTGGCTTTCATATTAATAATAAAAACAATGTCATGTCTCATATAGGTTAAAAAAAAAAAACCTCCAAAATCTTATGTGCAAGAAAAACAAGGAACAAATTTTGAAATCAGTGTCGATATTTTTAAGGACATAAAGCCACCTTGGATTCAAAATTGACATTGACCAGTGTGTAATTGTACTGTGTCCCCCCCCCCCCCCACACACACACACACTTTTGTCACATACTGTGAATGAAATTTGTATCTATTAATTCTATTTCCACATACGGTACATACATTGTAAGAAAAAAAATCAGGCCTTCAGTTTGAATAGTCCTCAAAAAAAAAATTTATTGAACAATTGTCATCACGTTGTCAGTGATACAGTACCATAGTTGGTGTCTTATTTGGAAATATATACATACAGTGGACACATGAATTAAATAACACTCATTAACATTCAGGTAGATCCTATATAATTAAAAAAAAAAAAAAAAAAAGAAAAAGAAAGTGAACCAACCTTCAACACTTCCATCAGTAAACAAACCAAACGCAGACAAAGCCAAGTGTGTGTGTGTGTGTGTGTGTGTGTGTGTGTGTGTGTGTGTGTGTGTGTGTGTGTGTGTGTGTGTGTGTGTTTGGTAGGACTTGACAGGGTGCCTTCATTTATGAAGAAAATGTTGTGGTCTGCGTGGAATCAAATGAGTAAAGTTTGTTTGTGTTGCTGGGACACACCGGAAACAAACATTTGGCACATGTAACGGTACTGGAAAGACCCTTTTTGACATTCGGCTCCATTTCATGACTGCATTTCTTAGTACAAGTGGCTCCAAACGCTCTCACGAGCTGAGGTCGGCTTCCACAATAAGTTTAACATGACGCCGATGAGTGCAGTGACATCCTGCCAACTGGGCGCCACATTTGGCTACACTGATGAACTGAACAGGAAATCATTGTTAGAATCCCACACATTGAACAAACTGACAAATTTGTATTTGTTTAATGGCAATTTTGATCAAAGGCTGTGTGAAGTTGTGTTAGAGCGATATTAATAGAGAAAAAAGGCAAACGTTTTGGAATTTGGCAACAGTAAAGGAGTTGTAATCCATTTACAGTATTTGTTTGTTGTGCGGAGTTAGAAAATTGAACACAAAAAAAAACTCTTGCTTACCTAAAGTATCTTCCTAATATCTCTTCACAAAACATGTTTTGACATTTTCAATATGTTCAGGTTATGAATAATATGGGCTTAATATTAACGCAAAAGTTGTTCAGGCTTGGAATAATTCAGCCCTTACTTTTCCTAAAAAGGTGTACAAGTTATGAAATAAAATGAATGAACGACAAAAATGTCCAGGTTGTTCTTCTTTTGTAACCGATTTAAACTTAAAATGTGGTCATGGTTCGAATGCAATTTGGCCTTTGCAGTTTCTCAAAATGTTTACAGGGTGTGAATGACTTGGGCTGATGTGACCTCAAAATTTGTTTCGATTTTAGGAATAATTGGTAATTAACTTGAACTAAAAATTTTCAAGTTAAGAATAACTTGGTCTTGAAATCAGAATGTGTACAGGTGATGAATAACTTAGTGGGACTCCACACTGGCTGAGGCTATGAATAATTTGTGTGTGTGTGTGTGTTTTTTTTTTTTTAATCATTTGCGTAACTGTGAAGTCAAGTGCACACGTTACGAGATGAAATCTGAAAAAAAAAAAATTAAACAGTCGTGACGTGACGAAAAGGAAAGAGTATTCCTGGTCACTTATTGAAGTCATTGCCATGATTGACAGGAAGTGAAATCAAACACAGGAAGAACGAAAAACAGAGGGGAAAAAAAAAATAAAAAAAATAAAACAATCACTAGTTGTCATCTTTTTCAAGTAAGTTTAAGAGCAATGGTGTTAGGTCGTACTTGAATGGGACACATGACATTACAGAGACTTAAGACTCCCCCCGGGGAGGGGCGTGAAGGCTTCAGTGCTCACCTGCTGAGAGGCAAAAGAAGAAGGAAGCTTTACCCGACGGCCACCAGGGGGCGACAGAGGACGTGGTTGGAGTGTTGATGCCACCAGAGGAGGTCCAGATAAGGCTTGATTCATAAGACAGTCAGGGAGTGGTGTTGTATAGATGTGTTTGCGCCTGACAGATATCCAGTGTGTGTGTGTGTGTGTGTGTGTGTGTGTGTGTGTTTCACAGCAGTGCTTTGACCAGGTACAGCCTGTCTCCCTGCTCGCTGGTGAAGATGGGGGCTTTCTTGTAGTGTTCCACCAGCTCCTCCATGGAGGTGAACCTGCGCTGGCCGATACAGTAGGCGCCGTCGCACAGCTGCACTTTAAAGTGCTTGTTCTTGCCCGCCGCCTTGAGGGACACCGAGAAGTCACTGGGCTGAAACACAAAACGGCAACATTGCTGGGGTCGGCAGAAACTCTTCCCAGTTTTCCTCCCAGAGCCGCGCCCATGGATGTTACGCCAAATGAGCAGGTAGAATGTTACTTTCCCCACATTTAAGCATGTGTGATTTTTTTTTTTTTATAAGTGTTTACATAGTGTGTTTCAGGAAATGTGAAAAGTTGGATATATCGAGATGGTAAAGTCACAGATCAGTTTACGTTATTGTTGCAATCTCCACTTTCGTTGATGTGATTAGGGAGAGAAGTTTGTTGTCGTGGTGAACACTTAAAGACTGCAGATAAACAGTCTTTCACATGAAGGAATGCTTCATTTGCCCTTATTTTAGTGTCGCATGAAAGATCGCGTTTACTTTAATAAAGATGAATTCATTGCTTGTGACCTTCCAAAAATAAATCACAATATTTAAGGGGATTGCTATGAGATTATTTTCCAAAATAGTCAGCTCAATCATACAACCGATGAGCAGTTAATCTGTCCCATTACTTTTGGTTCCTTCAAAAGGGGGAGGAGCATAAACAAACGGTTGTTATTCCTCCATCGTTCACCTGATTTGGAAGTGAATACCCTCTGCGGAAAGCGGGAAAAGCACATCTCGCTTGTTTCATTTTAAATCCATTGAGGTGTCGTCCAGATCTTGAATGCTGAAAATTGTGTCAACCTCCCAATATTTTTTGACCTGTCTGTATGTGATTAAAAAAAATAAATATATGAAAAATTAAAAAGAAAATGAGGTCACCTTTGACGAGTGCAACCATTTTATTTCGAGGTTATAAATAAATGAAGGAGTTTTGAGGCAAAGGCTGAACTGCAGAGGTGACGCATGAATTCATCCGACCATGGTGATGTATTTCCCATGCATGATGACTCAAAGCACGCAAGTGCAGTTTGCTGGAGCACATATGGGATGAGTCAGTATCTGACGGCACCGCTCCGTGCTAACCATGCTGCCCTCGTGACATTTCATTTCCAATGTCATTTTTGGTGTGCGTTTATCCGTTTTTCTTTTTGTGGCCGCGTTTACCGATAAATTGCTTCTCGAGACGTGTCTTGAAGTGACTTTGGCAAAAATCACCAATGGAAAGCAACATTAAGCAATAATGACGTTTTTTTAAAAAATGACAGCAGAAACTGTTGGAATTGCAGAAATAATGATTAAAAACCCAATAAAAAAAAAAATAGTTCAGGGATAGGCAAGTGGCAACCTGCTTGCACACTTGAGATGGCCCGGTGAATAATCAACTAAAAATGTTTTTTTCCCCAAAACATTTTTGGGGTAACGTTTTTGACCAATAATGGGTACATGGTGACAAAATCCCAGTTAAATTGAAAAAAATCAGAAAAAAAAAAATCCCCAAATCTGCCAAGATGCAACTGAATTTTGTGCCATCCTTGAATGGTACCGTCAACGATTTTTATGCCATTTTTAATGGAAAGCAACATTAAGCAATAATCAAGTTTTTTTTTTAAAAAATGACAGCAGAAACTGTTGGAATTGCAGAAATAATGATTAAAAACACACACAAAAAAAAAAAAAACTAGTTCAGGGATAGGCAAGTGGCAACCCGCGGGATGCTTGCACACTTGAGATGGCCCAGTGAATAACCAACTAAAAATTTTTTTTCCCCAAAACATTTTTGGGGTAACGTTTTTGACAAAGAATGGGTACATGGTGACAAAAAATTTTGTGCCATCCTTGAATGGTACCGTCAACGATAAAAAAAAACGCCTTTTAATTTTTCTCGAGCACGTCGGGTTTTTGAAATATTATCAGAGTTTTTGTTTTTAAGTTTGATCTATTAAAAAAGCTTTTGTGTAAGACAGGTTTTACCATGCTTTGTGATTTATAGCGATGACATTTAAGAAATTTTATATATGTATCTTTAAATATACACACACACACACACACACATACACACACACTTTATGCTTATTCTAAAAACTCTCACTTAACAGCAAATTTTAATTCGCGATAACTTTACATGTCCCTTAATGTAATTTTGACGCCAATTTTAATTTATTAAAAAAGGCCTTTTAATTTTTCTCGAGCACGTCAGGTTTTTGAAATATTTTCAGTGTTTTTGTTTTTAAGTTTAATCTATTAAAAAAGCTTTTGTGTAAGACAGGTTTTACCATGCTTTGTGATTTATAGCGATGACATTTAAAAAATTTTATATATGTATATTTAAATATACACACACACACACACACACACACACACACACACACACACTTTATGCATATTCTAAAAACTCTGTGGAAATTTACCATCACCATTGCGGAAATTTTCGACCCATTTACAACCCAAAAAGTGGATGTTTGTTTTTTTTTGACTCACCGACGACTCGCTGTCCCGTATGAGGAAGTCACCGTCGTCCCCTCGCTCATTAAGTATGCGCTCGGCCTGATGTCGGGTAACGTTGCCGTAGTACCAGTCCCTCCCGGCGAACCTGCCTGAGCGCGACGGCGCCGCGTAGCGGTTCTGCGGCGAGATGGTCTTGGAGGAAGGCGGGCCGGTTCGCTCGTCCAGCACCATCACATAGTTTTTAGGAACCAAGCCGACCACGCCGCGCGAGTTCTTACACCGCCACCACTTGGGGCTGTTGTCCG